CGCCCCCTCTTTTCTCGGCGGCATGTGTGAGAAAACACGCAGAACCAAATGTGGACTCGGAGAACTCAGAACTGTGGGTAACGTAGGGATGAGAAAAATGAGGTGAGTCTTCGCTCCAAGGCCAGGCTGCAGCCGACTGAGAAACGTATATATACGAAGTAGGTGGGATTCACAGCGCCGGCCCAGAAGTGAGATGAACACGGGATCGCATTGTCTGCTACCTAGACCTGCCCTTTTATAATCGTGGAAGGTAACGACCCGGCATTTATCACACTTACTGCTCGTTAGCACTCTTGTAAGCATTTCACGCGTGTTAACTCATTTAATCCTTAAACGCTATGAGGCACATTCTTATCCCCATCTTACAGATGGAGAAACTGAGGAGCAAAGTGGTTAAGTACCTTGACCAAGGTCATGTCGGACTCAGGAAGTCGGTTTCAGGGTCGATCGTTAAGTCTCTGCCATCCTCTAGGCTCCGAGTCTGTTTGTCCTGCGTTTACGCGATTCGAGAACTGGATCGCAACGGGGATTCTCCATGTGTTTTGCCTGGAGCCAGGGTCTGGTCATTCATCCACGTATTTACTGAACTTGAACCAGGAGCATAGAACGTTGACCAAGACAGAAAGGAATGTGCCCTCATTAAGTTTGATGTTTGGAGGGAGGATAAGGAGTAAGGGACATTATAACGCACCCTTCGCAATGACGAACATCACAGGCACCGGTGCACGTGGGATGCGCGTCTCTCCCGGGGACCTCGGGCAGGACAGCACTGTGGGTCTACAGGGCACGTCTTCCTGTGTGTGTCCTCATCAGAGGGGAAGTTTCCTCTCTGGTCACATGGGCCAGAATCCCCTCCCTGATGTATCCCTCCCTGAGCCCGTTTTTGGCAAAGGGAGTAGCACCCACAGTCGGCGTGGGCTATTCTGAACATGTCACTCACTCCACTGAGGCTAAAAAGACCACGGACAGCAGGGTCTGCGGGTCACTGCCCACTGGTCTGGGCGGGGCCAGGCATCGATCCCCGTGTTCCTCTACTTCTTAGCAGGATGGAGACAGGCCCAGTGCTCTGCATGATGCACTTTTTGGGTTGGAAAGGTTTGAATGTCCTTGTAGCTGTGTCTAATTTTACTCCTAAACCTGGGATAGGCCTCAGAAGGAGAAGGATGTCTCTGGGCATCCCCTTTGGTTTTTTCATCAACACTATCCCTTGTCCTCGGTGACTGGCCAGTGTTCTCCATCACCAGGTCCTCCCCTCCCCGCCCCCCTCTCAACGCAGACGCAGCTCCTTCCACAGGGTGCCTGGCTCAGTGCATGGAGGTTCCTGTTTCTTCCCCCCCCCCCCTCTCTCTCTCTCTCTCTAAATTAAAACTCTCCTCCAAAATTATGAAAATACATGTGTTTATTGAAATCCCTGAAACAACACAAAGATATTTGTACAAAGAAAGATTTGAATAATCTTTTCTTTCTGTCTCCATTCTCTGTCGTCCCAAGAGGCTGGGCCCTCTCTCTCTGCCTGCTGTCCCCATGGTCACCAGCATCATCAG